GGCGGCGGCAGCGGCAAGTGTGCCCACAGAGAGGGCTCTGAGTGCCGCCTCTGGCATGCGTGCCATAGGTTCGCCATCACTATTATAGGGGATACTCTAATCAGGCTGCAAAAACCTGGCTGATCACTAGATGGCAGAATTAATGTTATTTATCTTGCTTTTCTACCTGCTACCAAACATCTGGATTTCTGCAGAAATATTTTGTTAATGGGAGCCTTCCAAACAAGTTATTTCTCAGAGCTGTTATGCCAGCATACTATATGATTCCCTCATTGCTGAATTTTATTCTGTCCCATACGGGGTAGGTTTATTTGTTTATTTTATTTTTGTTCCACCTTCATTTTTGGTCATCTCAATGTCGTGTATGTTCCTAATACTCCTACCTCCTATTATGTGTCCTGCCAAGGAGAACAGGTGATCATCTGATATACATGATCATCCCCTCTGCTGGTAAGATTATGCTCCACCCCCAGAGTGCCATGGGCAGCTTTAGTGCCAAATTCCAGAAGCTCACAGTGACGCTGCCCACTAGGTGTTCAAAGCATTGCCATCCTTGCCAGTTTCACCATAGGGCTACTGATTGCGGCTCTTCCAAGAGCAGCCCTATTGCACTGTGGCTTCCTTGCAGTGTGCTGAGGTATGTTGGGGATAAGTGGGTGGATACATGTAGCTCAGGAGCTCAGGCTGAAAAGGCCTTGGAAGGCAGCAACCAGTGATCAGAATAGGAGAAGACATCATGTAATTGCAGGGAAACACTGGCCTAAAATTAAAAAACAGAATAACAGAGTTGGAAGGGATCTTGGAGGTCTTCTAGTGAAACCACTTGCACAAGCAAGAGACCCTATACCATTCTGGACAAATGGCTATCAAATCTCTTCTTAAAAACCTCCAATGATGGAGCACTCACAATTTCTGAAGGCAACCTGTTCCACTGGTTAATCGTTCTCACTGTCAGGAAATTTCTCCTTAGTTCTAGGTTGCTTCTCTCCTTGATAACTTTCCAACCACTGGTTCTTGTCCTGCCTTCTGCTACTTTGAAAAATAGGCTGACTTCCTCTTCTTTGTGGCAGCACTTCAAATACTGGAATGCTGCTATCATATCACCCCTAGTTCTTTTCGCTAGACTAGACATACCCAATTCCTGCAACTGTTCTTCTTGTGTTTTAGCCTCCAGCCCCCTGATGATCTTTTTTGCTCTTCTCTGCACTCTTTTTCAGAGTCTCAATATCTTTCTTATACTTTCAGTGACCAAACCTGGATGCAATATTTCAAGTGTGTTCTTACCAAGGCATTATAAAGCAGTACTAACATTTTCTGTTATCTTGATTCTATGCCTTTATTGATGCAGCCTAGGATTGCATTGGGTTTTTTTTTGGCAGAGGCAGCACGCTGCTGGTTCATGTTTAAGTGATTGTCACTAGAACTCCACCTCATACCTACTCTACATCTATACATTTGGTTTTTCTTCCTAAGTATAAAGCCTTACTTTTCTCACATTGAATTTAATTTTGTTAGTTAGGGTCCAGTGTTCAAGTCTGTTGAGATTCTTCTGGATTTTAAGCCTATCTTCTGGGGTGTGGCTGTTCCTGCCAGCTTGATATTGTTTGCAAATCTGATGAGTTCCCCTTCTATTCCCTCATCTAAATCATTTAAGAAAATATTGAAGAGTATTGGACCTAAGACAGAACCATGGAATCTCCCATTGCTTACTTGCCTTCATGTAAATATAGTTCCATTGAGGACTACACATTGAGTGTGGTCTGTCAGCCAGTTACAAATCCATGTGGTGGTGATGCTGCTTATACTACATTTTTCTAGTTTATCAAACAGTAGGTTGTCTGTCAAATGCCTTATTGAAATCCAAGTATACTATGCCCACATTTCACTGGTCCATTAATTTAATTACTCTGTCAAAGAATGAAATAAGATTTGTTTGGCATGATCTGTTTCTTGATAAACCCATGTTGGCTTATAACTTTGCTTGCTTTCTAGGTGTTCGCAGATCTGTTGCTTGATTATCTTTTCCAGGGTATTCCCAGGTATTGATGTCAGGCTGATTGGTCTATAGTTTCCTGGATCCATTTCTTTTTCTTTTTTGAAGATGGGAACCACATCAGCTCTTTTCCCATCCTCTGGTAATTCCCTGCTGCTCCAGGATGTTTGAAAGATATGGTTCAATGGTTCTGAGATAATGTTTGCCAGCTCCTTCAGAATTCTGGGATGTAATCCCTCTGGTCCTGGTGATTTGAACTGATCTAGGATGGACAGGTGTTCATGAATCACAATAGGCAAGACAAGCTGCTGCAAGGCAGAAAAGTTCACATTTATTTATCTGCTTATTTCATTTTAGGTTCATAAGGCTTTACAAAAATGCCATTCTGGGCAACATACCACTATAAAAACAAACGACGCTATCCCAACAAAAATGCTGTTACAAGTACAGACACACAATCCTGGCATAACAATCTGTGCTCCACTTCCCAGGGTGAACTCGTGTGACATCCTGGCCCCAGTGCCTGAGGATCTCCAAACCTTCTTGGAAGCTAAGAGGGTCAGAACCAGTTGAATCTCAGAAATTGGGGGGGGGGGAAGGAAGGAAGAGAGGTCATGCTTGTGAGATATTGTCAGAAGACATATAGATAGTCCTTAACCGTTCATTTAGCAACTAAAATTCAACAGTACTGAAAAAGTTTACTTATGACTGATCCTTGTTTTCATTTACGACCATGGCAGCATTCCCATTCAAAATTTGGATGCTTGGCAACCAGTATGTATTCACAACAGTTGCAGCATCTTGGGGTGATGTGATTGCTATTTGTGGGCTTCCCAGCTGGCTTCTGATAAACAGAGTCAAGGGGGAAGCTGGACTCACTTAACAACTGCAGTGATTTCCTTAACAGCTGTGGCAAAAGCAATCATAAAATCAGGTGTGATTTACTTAACAAATGCCTTGATTAGCAACAGAGATTCTGGACCCAATTGTGGTCATAGGTTGAAGACTGCTTGTACCTCCTAGGTCTCAGTAGATGCATTGTTCCAGGGATCTAGAGCAGGGGTCCCCAACCTGTGGGCCGCGGCCTGGTAGTGGGCCATGGCCTGCTGGCCACGGGACAGGCTGCCCAGTGTGAACCTGTGTGCGCATGCATCCCCTCACTTGCATTAGCACTGTGGCCACGGGATGTGAAAACAGGATGCCATGCCACAGGGTGCAAAAACAGCTGCTGCTGCGCCTCAGGGCGCAAAAATGGGATGCTGACACACCCCGGGGTGCAAAAACTTATTTTCCTCCTCTTCCATTTTCTGAAATGGAGTTCTAAATCCGGAGGGATTTATTGATATGTTCAAGCAAACTCAGTATCGAACATACCATGAAAATTAGCAACTTTTAATTTTTCTCTGTAGAGACCTTCCCTGCCCCCAGTGCCGATGGCGGGCTTAAGAACGGATGGTAAACAACTATACTTACACTCTTACTTATGTAACATAACCAGTTTTAGGCCAATTAGAAACGAATTCGATCGAAGCCAAGCCTTCGAATCTACAACCCGTGACACATTCCCTCCCTCGCCAGCCTTTTATGAATGAACTTTAGGCGCTCTTGGTTTTTTTTTTTTTTTTATGAATGAGAGTTCCAACGCTGAATGAATCTTGGAACATCTCAAGCTGATTGGCTCAAAGCGTTCAAACCACGCCTTATTCTTGCTGCTTGAGACTTGATTGGTTGGGCGTGTCCCAGCGAGCCTAGGGAATCCCCCCTCCTTTCTTTCATTCACAAAATCAATGAAACAAAGAGAAACAGAAAAGAGTCTGTTTCTGTGAAAGAGGAAACGACTGCGGGCTAGAGGCGGGAGCAACTCCACACGGCTCTGTTTTTTTCGTGAAGCAGTATATTCTTCTTGTTTGAAATCAGCTGCCTTGAGCTGGGGGCCAGCAGGAAAGACCTGAACTGACCCCCGCGTTTCCATTCTGAAGTGAGGTGAGGAAAAGATAAGTTTTCATAGAAACTCCTTTATTTCACGTACTTTTACAGAAGTTGCGGGAGGGGGGAAGAGGGAGACGAGGAGGAATATATATATATATATATTTAAAAGAGCCATGGGCCTAGTGGGTGCTGGGGAAACAGGACTGCTTTTGTAGAGAGAATCATGTAGCAAACATGGGCAAATAAGAAGATCTATAGGTTGAAGCCTAGGAGGAAAGGGCAGCTGAAACAAACAAGAGGGGTATCTGAAGCTGGAGATGTTTAAACCTAATCTTGTTCCTATTGCAAGGAAGTCTCACTGAGGTAAATGGGGCTTACTCCCCAATGCAAGATGTGAATAATGAAAATTGGCTTCTTGAACTTCTGAAGAGGAAAAAAACGGGCAGGAGTTATTGGTAAGATTTAAATGCCTGTCCAGTGGAATGGGCAAAGCAGAGGTTGAGGAAAGTGTAGAGGGAATTACAGGGCTAAAGGAGCCAAAAAATGAAATAATAATAATAATATCCAGGCACCCAGGAAAGGAGAAAGGGAAAGGATGATGCAGGATGATAGAGGGGTGAGAAGGTTTGTAGAGGACCTGAGTTTTGAAAGTAAATTTTGGGTTAAGGATGGCATCCATTCCTCCTTCATTAGACATTTCATTAAGCCATTCCTTGAAGTACATTGGATTCATCTTCAAGATAGCACGTGGCTCATGAAGACTGGAAATGTTGGGAGTTGTAATCCCAACAGATCTGAAAGCGTCAGGTTAAAGAACTTTCCTTCTGGAGGTGGCTGAGCAAAAAAAAAAAAGCACCTTTTCAGTTATGGCATTCCAGCAAGCAACAGTAACAGGAGGGTCAGGGAAAAGTGCCTTAGGAATCCGTTTAAGAGACCCTTCTTGTAGACGATGCTGCAAATTGCATGCAATAAGGAACTTACCACAAGTAGCATTTAAAAATCTTCTATCTATTGGTGCATTTTTTCTTCTTTGTTTACAGCTACCTGGTGGGTTTTTCGTGTGCCCTCCATGCCTTTGAGAAACTTGCTTCCATGACTGATGGGAGGATGAAAGGATATTTGGACCAGCAAGTGCCTTACACTTCTGCACAGGTGAATGAGAGTTTGCCCTTAAGGCTTTGGTTTTTTTCTGAGCAGTAGTTTGAGCACCGGGTACCCAGTGGTCTGTCTTATATTAACTTTAGTGCTGTTTGTCTACTTATAGAAACCAACAGGGAATGGAACTATGGACAGCAGAGCTGTGATGGCTTCACGGAGGAAATCCATGGACCCAGGTGTGCCCCATGTTCCAGATTCAGAAGGTTTGTGGGGGAGGGGGAGAGGGGTAGACATGGAGGGTATCTGAGACAATCCTGTTCCAGATTTATTCTAGCTTGAAACTTCAACCTGATTTGGGAATATAATGATATTCCAGGGCAACCGTGCTTCCTGTTTTGCAACAGGGAATAACAATTTATCATGGACCCAGATTCCCTAAGATTAATTAATGCCCAGTGCATCTACTAAAGACCATTTTTGGTTCTTTCATTTTGGATAACTGTGAAACACTTGAATAATTGAAAATGATGTTTCAGAAGCTGTACCTTTTTTCTTTGCATAGTCTTTGCCTGCAGTCTGGATGGAGAACACATCATAATTGCTGCAATGCTTACCTAACGAACAGGATAAGGAATTTTTTGAAATCATCTCTTTGATTTGGGAGGGCTACAGCTTGAGGATACAGATCTTTTTTACAGAACCCTCTTAATGTCAAGCAGCTATGTCTTGCTTCCATATTACAAAGTCTTTGGACCACAATTTAAGAGAATTCTCTTAAGAACTTCCATCTTCCTCACTGCTAGGCATATATAAAATATTTAAAAGGTTAACATTCTTTAGCCTGAATGTGGATAACATTTTTTGATGATTTCACTGGGGACAGAAATGCTTTTTCTTTTTTCTTTTAATCAGAGAAAATTTCTTCTTAACAGCTTTCAAATGAATCTTCCATAATTCTGCAGTGGCTAAGGCATTGGATGCTTGCAGGCTGCAAACTGCTTTCTGTTTTAGTGGGCCAGTTCTGAGAGCATGGATCAATTTAGAAAAATCAGTTTTACCTGATCAGCCTTTTTCCCCTGTGGGACTAATGCAATTGTGAAGAAATAGCTGTTGAGGCAAGCTCTCTTTTTATTACCTTTTAGGAGAGGACCTAAACAACATTTTTATTCAGGCTATAGTTGGATGTTTTAGGATTAGGATGTTTTAGGATTGGATAAAAAGCCCTGAATTTCAGAATGTAGTCTCTTACGAGTTGTTCCTGGTGGGGCTATTTTGGTTAAAGGTTTGGAACAAAACTATTTCATTTGTTTCATGACATCCTTAGATTATATTGGGCTTCTGTAATGGATTTGGGCCTCCTTGCTATTTTCCTTTAACCCAGTGTTCCTCAACTTTGGTAGCTTGAAGATGGATGGACCTCAACTCCAGCTTGCTTGCTATAGAATTCTGGAACTTGAAGTCCACCAGCTTCAAGCTACCAAGATTGAGAAATGCTGCCTGAACTGTTTCTTTCAAACATCAACCTTCTTCACTGCCCCAGAACTACTGTTCATTGTTATCACGCTCTGCTCCATTTCCTTGCAGATCTCTTCCTTGATCTAAACCAGTTCCAGGAAACATGGCTGACTGAAGGTAAGGCTGTCTTATGGATCTTCCTTTGTTTGCTGCCTCTTTCCTTGCCATGCCCATTATCATCATCATCATCATCATCATCATCATCATCATCATCATCTTTTAAGTATCTTTCCTTTTGCTTCCATCTGCTTTCCCTATAACTGAGCCTGAGTAAATTCAAGAATATGAATGGCATCATTGTGTTGGTATTTGCTTATGAAAGGAACTTGGCAAAGGACCTTCAAACTTTCCAGCCCTCTGGAGTGATGACTGTTGACAGCGGAGTTCTGCTCCCTCTTGCAAACCCATGGAGCCCCTCCCTGCTTTAAAGCTTTCGGAAAAAGGGTGGTTTAAAAATGGGATGTCTTAGAATCTTGTTGGTGTTCATTACTTTCTGTTCTTTCTTACTTCCATTTTGATCAACATTAACCTGGGATGAGAAACCTCAAATCTGCTCGTTCCCTAAGTGCCCAATTAAGAAACATGGTTAATTGCAGTTTGGAAATGGATTTTGTATTTTGTTCTTGCAAGTGTGGACCTAGGGACATGGCATTTTGAAAAGGTTACAGAGGCTATCTGTGTGTTTACTTAACATGTATTGTTCCTCTGCTTATCTGAAATTGGTGGTGCTCTCTGAAACCAGAGCAAAAATGGAGTAAAAGAGAGCAGCTAATCAGCAGTCAGATTTTTTTTAAAAAGTATATAATATGGAAGAAGGAATTCCATTGAAATGATTCATGTATATGTTCCTGTATAATTCTTTTTTTTAAAAGTTAAGTAAATACTTGTCAGCACAACTGATGCTGCAATACAGTTTAGTGATGGCTAGTCACAGTGTTGCTAACAATTTCTTGCAGTTCTGGTGCCTAAAAATTGAGAATTTGCTATTGTGATTGGGAAATGAATATCCTGAAACACTGCATTTATTTTATGCACTATTTTTTGAAAGTAAACTTCATGGTTTTAATGAAAAACTTGGAAGATCTCTATAACTCCAAATTGAGCCAACTTAAGCAAGAACGCATAATTATAGCATTTTATTTTCTAATCTTAGTATAAAATCCTAAGACCATGCTAATGCTATTGATAGCAAGAGGCAGGATATAGAATTGAAAACAGGCATTGGTACTCCTCAACTGGAATTATGGTCATAAGTCATGTTGGTCATTAAACAGATCACCATGTGACCATGCCCATTTTTACAACTTTTTTGGGGTCATTAAACAAACCCATTGTCTGCAATGTACCTTTTTTTGCCAGAAACTGGAATAAATGCTGCTTTCTGGCAAAACAAAAAGTTGTAAATCACGGTTACATGAGTGCAGGACATTGCAAACAGCTGTGAATGTTGGGTGGTTGCCGGAGTTTCAAATTCAGGCTGTAAGTCAGTCATAACTTCAAATGATTCCTAAGCGACCGGCTAGTAAGTCGAGGACTTCTTATACATAACCACAAAAACTAAATGCTTCCTTTCCTCCCTCTTTTCCTTAAAGGATCAAAACAAAAAACAAAAAACACTCAAATGTTTAGAACTGGATTTGAATTCTGAAATCGAAGATTTTCTGATGACAGCAAATCATTTAGAACACAGACAGGAAAAAATGAATTGTTATTTGTGGTTTCTTTCAGGCTACAATATCTTAAATGGAAAACATTTTTTTTCAAATCAAGACTTTCTTACACTTCATGGTGCATATTATTAGGGGTGGGAGCAGTTTGTTCTGTATTTTGAGACTTTATATATTTAGATTTGTTTATTCATATGGTTGCCCCTCTGACAACAATAAACTACCATTTAAACAATCTAAACTAAGGTTCCTAGAAATGCTACTCTGCCTCCCTCTGATATTCATCTTTTATGTTAAAAGATAGTTCAACAAAATAATGTTAATTCTCAAACCCCAGAAGTGTGGGATTTAAACTCCCCATTTACTTCCACCACAGCATGATTACTGGATTACCCTAGAAGGAGCCAAGTTGGTAACCAAGTTCTTTTATATCCCTTCATGAGAATATTAACCCTTTGGAACAGTTTGTTTCAGCAGCTCAGCAGTTTAAAAAAATAAATAAAATCAGGACTAATTTTCCGCAGACTAAAACAGAAGTTGCACCAAGTCGTTATCTTATTCATTGTGGCTTGCTGGAGAATTATCTTAAGTTTGTGGAACAAACAGGCCACATGGTTTACAACTGTAGTGGCTATACGATAGTCATATGAGTTATCTAGCCACACATATGCAAAGCTTAGAGCCAGTAAAATGAAACAGGATATGTATCCTGATGTATCCCTGGAATTCAGATCTAGATAAGTAAAAACAATTGCAAGTAAATTGAAGCAATTATGTGTTTGCATAATTGCTTCAGTCTAAGATTCTAAATGGATCTAGTGGAAGAGAGAGATTGCTCAACACCAATGTTTTTCAATCTCAACAATTTTAAAGCGTGTGGACTTAAACTCTCAGAATTCTCCAACCAGCATGCTGGCTGGAGAATTGTGAGAGTTGAAGCCTACATGTCATAACATTGTCGAGATGAACAAACATTGCTCTCTTTCCAAGGCCATTTAATATAAATCTTTCTTAAAAACTAACCTGTGAAAATAATGTTTGTCTACATTTTTAAGTTAATTGCTCAGGAAGAAAGGTTTTCTACAGTTAGCATGAAAATACAGACTACTTCATTTAAAAAAAATCCCTGGACTAGCACAGAAGGGCATGGAGGAATTTTCCTTTTTCACTAGCCGTTTCATTTTATTTTATTTTATTTTTGTTAGATTAATTTGCCGCGTGTCTCACTGTGGGGCTACTCTAAGTGGCTTATAATAATAAAAAGAAATGAAAAGAGTGCAAACAGAAGTAGGATAATAGAACAATAAAATAAACAAAGAATAAAACCACAATGAGAATGCAACAATATGATTACCCAAAAAGAAAGATAGATAGATAGATAGATAGATAGATAGATAGATAGATAGATAGATAGATAGATAGATAGATAGATAGATAGATAGAAAGCTGAGAATGGTGGGGGGGGGGGGGGGGGGGTAGAGTCTGCCTTTGACATTCAAAGCACTGGCCTGCAAGGGAGTTGCTGATCCTCTATAGTACTCAGAAGATTGCCTTACAATTTGAATAATCTTGCAGAAATTAAATTCTTGATCTATTGGGAAAGAGGCTGCAAACCTATTTAGGAATGATATGCCAGGGAGGACTACTGAAAGAATAAGAGGTATGTGTGATGGTAGTGGGACTGCTGGTCACAAGCCAAACCCATACTGAGCAATGGCTATGCTGTGACTGCTAGCTTTTGTCTCAGCGAAGTTGGAAAGAGGTAGTTTTATCTGTCTTTTTGTTCTGCTCTGACAACATCAAAAGATGTTTAAGGTGTGTAGACTTCAACTCCCAGAATTCTCCAACCAGCATGCTGGCGGGGTAATTGTGAGAATTGAAGTCCACAAGTCTTAACATTGTTGAGATGGACAAACATTGCTCTCTTTCCAAAGCCATTTAATAGAATGTTGAATAGAAGAGAATGTTGAGAGCTACTTTGGAGAATGCAGTGACTTAAATAATGGATACCATCTAGCCACTTCTTAAATGTGTCTTGTCCTGTTGGCTTCCCAAACTGAGCCAAGCATGTTAATGAAGTGGGTTGTGTGGTCCAGGATGGGTGGGTGGTAGAATGTGTGGGAATTTTATCTGAGATTATAATTGTTTATCCTCATAAAAGGCATGCATAGCAGAAGTTGGATTCTTTACTTGAATTTAGATGGGTGTGCTAAAGACTCTGAAACTATCTCTGCATGAGCTTGAGGCTTTATTTTATCTAAAATAAAAGAAGTGTAAAATTTATTATGTAATTTTACATAATATAAAGTTGCAATTGGTTGGAATTAAGAATAATCTAATCCAAGGCTTCTCTAGCAATGGTCAAATTCTCTGAAAATTTACAGGGAGGACATGATGGACAGAAAGATTCCCCATTGCTTGCTTCCAGTTTTTGATCAAAGGTAAAAGGGCTGTAGCCACTGATATTTTCCATGAATTATTCCATGTATAATTTGAGCCTTCATTGAACAGATAAAGCATTTAGTTATATCCCACCTGTATTATTTTTATAAACAACTCAAAATGGCAAACATGTCTAATAATCCTCTTTCCTGCTATTTTCCCACAACGGCAACCCTGTGAGGTGGGTTGGGCTGAGAGAGAGTGACTGGCTCTCATGGCTAAGGCTGGACTAGAATTCAGTCTCCCGGTTTCTAGCCTGGTGCCTTAATCACTAGACTAGACTGGCTGATATCCCATGGGGATGATTGGTCTAATCCCTGTGCCCCAAACACAAATATTTTACCAATAGTTTATGCAGCTGTGATCATCTTATCTCTGAAAAAAATTGCATTTGTTTAACAAACTACGCATTACACTTCGGATGAAAAGGTCTTGACAGCTTTTTATCCCTTGCATGATGGCATTAGCAGAAAGAGGATAACTGTGTATTGGAAAATAGTTGAAGAAAGAAGGCGATATTTAATCTATGTAGTTTTTCTCCCCTCCCCCCCTCAGCTGTGTTTTCATTCTGCTGGTGTATCTTGCCCATTTATCTTGCAAAAATCATCTTGGAGACCAATGGGAGTAAAAACAGCTGTGAATAAAAGAACTATTGGCAAGAAGGAAAGAGTTAAACATTACTTCCTTTCCTTAGAAAATCCAGCTTTTCTGCGAAGCCTATGGCTTCTTTTCTTAATCCTCTACTTTATTGTAGATTTCCTTAATATGTTGCTTTTTTAGAGTATGACTCCTATCAGCCCCAGCCAACTGATTAATGATCTTGGGTGATGGGAATTCAATGTTTTGGGAGGTACAGATTTCCCTACAGCAGGTTAAGTGATATGTGTATAAATAGTGCTATATAAATAAAAATAATTCCCCTTTCTGCTAGAATATAATGCAAAAGAGGACAGACTGTCTGGGATTCACCATAATACAATGGTAATTTTGTCCCTTGATCAGAAAGGG